ATTATCTCATCTTATCTTCTCAACAACTCTGTGAAGTAGGTATTATAAATATTTAATATTTATTTTACAGATACCACATGCCTCAATGTCCCCTAATAGTCTCTGTGCTCATATGGACTCAGTTTGTTTCTGAGGGTCTGATCAAAGAGGTACAGTTTATCTCTTTGGTTTTTGCCTACCATGGAGTTTTGCCACGGGGAAAATTACCCAAATAAAGATTAGATATTGTCTATGTCTAGATTTCCTCAAATATATGTTAACAGGGTCCTCAACTAAGACACAGGCACTAAACGTACAATATGGATATTGGGTATTGAAAAATGTTTAGTTTTCCCATCACAGAAAATATGTGAGCTGCAAAGGACTCATAGGAATATTTAAAAACACGAAAACAAAGCCCACAAATAACCCATTCCATTCCCCTGGAAGGTAAAACCATTGTGCAGGAGTGCTACACAAATACTTTCAATTTGTTTTCATCTGTACCATCTGAGCAAGTCACAGCAAAAGCAGAGTTGGCAAGATCCAAATATTTATCTACTGCACACTCCTACCCCCATGGCACAGAACAAGAAAGGTTAAGTCTTTTTACAATATTTTTAGGGACTGGAGGAAAAGGTAGCTCTTCCTATAAGAGTTCATTTACTTTGACTCTCAGTTGTCAATTTTCTTGGTTGCAGGCTCATTTATAGAGCTCAGAAGAATTCTGTGCTTCTTTTCAACAAGTTGATAAAGCACATAGATGTTGGAGTTACCCTTTTTTCAAAGGTCTCTGCTTTGTAATCTTGTCAGATTGGTCCAGAAATTCACACAATTGATCAGTGTCATCCCTGATAAACCAGGCTTATGTACAAATAAATACTATATAACTCAAAGGTTGTTGGCAGGATTGAACGATAGGGATAAGAATGAAGACAGGAGCTATGATTTTGTTGTTTTAGGAAACTCCCTTTACCACTACAGGTTGACACTTTATCTGCAACTTATAATCTTAGAGAGTTGCCCAGAGAGCGAAATGGTTAAAGGACCTACTTGGGGTTACATTGTCACTGTGTCAGAACTCAAATCAAGATCAACCTAGTTACTTTCATCTTGTCTCCTCTGTTAAATTTTGAGTTCCTAGAGAGCAGTGAATGTCTTTTACTTTTCTTTGCATCCTCAGTGCTTAGCCTAGTGCCTGGCACATAGTAGGCACTTAATAGATGTTTAATGACTGACTGACTATTCCTGGCTTTGAGGCTAGCTCTTTATCCACTGTGCCATGTTGTATTGTCTCTCTAAAGTATTATCTAAATGTAAGATATTATTAATATTGTTGGTCACATTGAGATTGAAGCAAAATAGATAATTGAAAATATACCACCAATTAAAATAGCTCAAAGCGAGTTTTCCACTGATGAGTCAGAAGCTTTATCTTCAAAGAGAAAGGATAGTGCATGATTAAGGTTTGTCAGGTCACAAGCTTGCTAAGCTAATGGTCTCCTTTTTAAAAGAAAAGCAGTATCTCATGGTATCTCTATCTCTAATTGGCGAAAACCATCAAATTAGTTAAGATATGAATTGCTATTATTGTCTCCAACTATAAGGTTGTTTAAATTTATAATTTAAAGATCAGCGTTAATTTTTTACACTGCTTTCAAGCAAACAACTTTGCTTTATTTTTAGGAAAACAGGGACCTCTTGTGGTTATTTATAAAAGTACATTATCAACCTCTGCAAACAATAGAACGATTTTTAAAGATAATTTTCAGGTCTGATTCTCTTTAGAAAAATGCTTGTGTATCATGGCACAGAGACTATGGTATCTGTTTTTGAATTATATGGTAACATAAACCTTTTTTGTCGGCTTGAACTAATTGTCAGTTTAGTCATCTGTTTCTGACAGTCATACCAAAGGGACTTCTGTGGGAAAAAGTGATAGTTGCCTCTTTTGTGGTTTGAGATATATATCAGACATTCCTAACTTTATTAATAATCTATTACATTCAATTGATCAATGATATTTTATTTAATTCACTGTGCTAGTAACAACAGGTAGACACAATGATGAGTAAGACATGGTTCCCATTAAAATTATTTCTTGTTCTCATTCAGTTGTGTCAGATTCTTCTTGACTGAATTCGAAGTTTTCTTAGCAAAGATACTGGGGTGGTTTGCCAATATTAAATTCATAATCTAAAAGAGTACATGGGTATAAGATATGCAAATGATAAATACTTATGGTAAAAGATTTAATTAATTAGTGTAATGATTTATGAAAAAAGGATTGTGAGGGTTCAGAGAAGGGAGAAATTATATCCATCTGGAGATATCTGTTATAAAAAAATTCTTATTATTTATGAGTTTTCTAACAGTCTTCTTTTACTTAAGTTGGCATACCAGGCACCAAACTCCAATCCAAGATTTAGTTTTATAATAAAGATAAGAATATTTCTGGGTCTTTGTGAGGTTGTTTCTACGCCAGAAATGTCAAACTCATAGCCTGAAGGTGGCAAGTGAACTGCAAAACTCCAGAGTGGGACCCAAACCAGATTGAAATTTAATTAGGGAAATATTTAACAAAATAAATAAGATACATTAATTTATAATGTTAATTTGTGGTTTTCTAAGTTAATATGTGACCCATAGGGATCTCTTTCTATTTGAGTTTGACACTGCTGGAATACACAATGCCAGACTAAGCAGTTGATTCTGTGGAAAAATGAAATCTATTAAACTAGCTATTTTAGAAAAACGCAGAGTGAAACAAAATCTTGTTTTTAGAGATTTTAAATTCTCATGTGGTTGAGATAGTGTAATTTACCTTTATCTACTATAATATAGTGGAAAGAGTACTGAGTTTGGAGTTGAAACACCTGTGTTTCAATCTTGGCTTTGTTATGACCTGTGTGAACTTGTGTAAGGCACTTTACATTTTAGTCTCTCATCTTCCTTATCTGTAAAATGAAGGTGTGAGGCTAAGTGATCTCTAAAAGTCCCTTTAGCTCTAATTTCTATGGTCATCCTTGGTGTGTCTTAAGAATCTTATAATTCTGCACTGTGGTGAATGTATTTTTATCCTTATCAGGAAATTAATCACACCTAGGCTTAGTATAAGCACATTTGTGTTGTAGGAAAAGTTTATTTCTGAGCCCCTTCCCTTGCCTACTTCCCCAGTTTACAGCTCCTTTTTTCTCCCTGAAGCTTACCTCCACTCCAACTTGCTCAAAAGAGAGGATAGCACAGTTATATTAGTGTGAATTAATTAAATGTTACCTCTATAGAGCTTATTTAATATATTCCTAGAATTTTAGAGCTGGAAATGGTCTCATAAAAAGATGTCCAAACTCATGTCACCTTGTATCATTCAGTAAATATTTGTTGAATGAATGACTAAACTATTAAACAATTCTAAAATATAGACTGATAGTAAAATAAAAGAGATTGATAATAGCATATGAAATGAGGTAAATCCCTTAGACAACATGCAAAAAGCTAACTTTTCTTTTGAATCAAATTTGTTATTTCCAGAGTATTGAATTTGGAGGCAGGACGATCTCAGTTTAAGTCTTTGTCACTTACTGGCTTGTGACTCTAAGCCTCAGTTTTCTCATCTGTAAAATAGGAATAACAGCATCTACCTCACAGAGTTGTTGTGAGAATCAAATGAGATATGTGTGAGGCACTTTTCCAACTTTAAAGTGCTATACAAATGCTAATCATTATTCACTGGTATAAGGATGTCCAATGAGGAAACTCCCAGTATGAGACAAAAGGATATGTGCTGTGCAACTTGGAGTTTTAGAGAGTTACTCGAGGGGCACTGAAAGGTTATTAAATGACTTTCCTAGAGTCACAATAAGTTTCAGAGGCAGGACTTGAAATCATCTTTTCTTCACCTTGCAGCTGGCTCATTGTCAATGCCAATGCCAAGGCCATGCTGCCTGTTATTAACTATAATAACACTAAAATTCAAGGCAATATATTGGTAAAAATTCTAAAAAAAAAGTTAGATGACAAGGAAATATTTAGAAAGTAGAAATGCAAATTTGATAGCAGTTTATTACAATGGAGGTATCTATATCTATGACTATTAGTGGTCATATCATGGATGGAGAAATAAAGGTCAGGTGAAGTAGAAATATTAAATTTGTAAATAAAGTCAATTTGATTTTTGGCTATATGCATAACACATTATTGGTTGGTATATACAAATCAGAGACCAGATAGTCTCTGTATTTTCTTTAAGTAAAATAATAATACTATAAAACATTTCTTCAATGTTATGTTTATTTATAAGGACTAGAAGAAAAATAATCAGCAAGATGTTTTTGAACACTATGAAGCAACAGTTGCAAAAAAAAACAAAACAAAAAATCCAAAATAAAACAAAAAACAAACCTAAGACAACAAGGTAGTATTTTGGGCAAAATGGTATTTTACCACTACTCCAAAGACTTTGACAGTAACCGTGGTATAACAATGAATGCCATGTAGTAAAAACAGCTTCATGTGTAAATGGCATAGCCTTTTTGTTTAAAAATAGATTTTCCACATGTAAAAGAATGCTACAGCTCCTTAGTGGCCCAAGATAAAACTTCAATCTTCTACTTCCTTTCAGGTAGTTTCTTTGCCACTAAACAGAAACCTGCCAATTAACTGTAACTCCAAACGAAGAGGAAAACTTTCCCCTTGACTGATGGGGAAATTTGCAATTAGTGTTATTGGTTCTGTCTTTTGGTCTGTATGCTTACATTCACATCTGAAAAACTACAGATTCAACTAAACTTGGTAAACTATTCAGTAGCAGAATTGTTATCTCCTAACCCGCCTAGGTAGTACTCTGTTTCTCCAGGTTTACTGGAACAAGTAGCCTTTGCATATTCAGAGGCAAAAAACTACAGCTCCCAGGTGCCTTTTCGAAAGCAAGAACTAGTTTTTTCTTCTTTGGGAGGAATCAATAAAAAAGGACAAAGCGCAGAGCAGTGTGGGTGGAAGAGGAGAGATAAACACACTCAGAAATGGCTCTGAAGAAAGATGAGCAAGCAGGGAATGTGCCGCCGACTAAAGGGGAGTCCGACTCAGAGGTTAAGCTCGTTCTCTACCACTGGACCCATTCCTTTAGTTCCCAAAAGGTAAATGTTCGGGGAGGCCTTGGCACCGAGTATTGGGTTTCAGCACCGGGACAGCTCCCTTGGGTTGTTCATTAATGCTAGTCTACCTTGGCTGGGGAGGTGGCCACCACTCGCCTCTGCCACTTCAGCTTGGACTTATATTAGTCTTTCCGAGAGGAGCAAAGAAAAATCAACCCAAGGAATGAAGTGGATGTGCCCTATTTAGCCATAAATGCGACCAAGGCAGCATAGATTTATAGGCCTTGAAAGCCTGGCCTTTTTTAGTAATAGCAACTATAAGGTGGAGAGTTAGGAGAAAAGGGTCAAAGAAGTCACTCCACTTCTCAATTAAACTAATCATAATCTTGCTCGAACACTAACTTCTAAACGTCACCTCCTCCCACTCTGCTTCTTCTCTTTGTTCTCCTTCTTACCCCCATACAGCATTATTTACCCTAGTTTCAGGTTCTTGGCATTGTCTTTGGCTTGTCCAAATGGAATCAGACAGGGTTTGTGGTAGGGTTAGATTGCATATGATCCTTGAGGACAGCGACTGGTTTCCATTTTTGTTTTTGATTCTGAGCGCCTAGCTCAGTGCTTTGTACATAGAAGATACTTCATAAAAGCTTTTTGCATTAAATTATGTATAAAATAGGACTTTAGAATAAGAAGGCAAATACTATAAAAACCAACCTCAGTAGGTTATAAAAAAAGCATAGATGTTATCAGTACTTTCCCCACAGTCTTTAGATATTTAGGTTGCATTTACAAAGACATGACTCACAAGGGATTCAGAAGATGCTTAGTAGAATCAAGAGAAGTAATTTAATCCAGAATAAACACACTTTTGTAACCAATGTAAATTCTTTCAGGTGCGCTTAGTAATTGCTGAAAAGAAACTGAAGTGTGAGGAACATGATGTAAGTCTGCCGCTGAGTGAACATAACGAACCGTGGTTTATGCGTTTGAACTCTTCTGGAGAAGTGCCTGTCCTTATCCATGGGGAAAACATTCTTTGTGAGGCAACTCAGATCATTGATTATCTTGAACAGACTTTCGTGGATGGTAATGTTAAGGCTATTTGTTATCTCTTTAGTTTTGATTTTGGTAGAAGTGGCATATTTTCCATTTCCATAAGTATACACCAATAGATTCAGCAACAAATACTATAAGCTTTATCTCAACCAATGTAACTCCATTTTATTTTATCCATGTAAATTAAACCCTTAAAAACCTTTGAATAGTAACCATTCAATGAACATTTATTAAGCATCTGCTACATGCCAGGTACTTTTCATTGAATGTCTTTCCATTTAAATCCATATTGACAAAGACTTCAAATCATATAAATTCTTGGAAGGGAATCAAAATAAGTGAATTTGCTCTGTTTGCTAAGATAATATAGTAATTGAAATAAAACTCATGTTTTCACTTCTAAATATAATATATACTAAGAAAAAAATCAATCATTTGCAGTGAAGTACTGATTATTTTCCTAGCCAATGTGTCTCAAGAAAGTGTGACAGGAAAGACTAGAGGAGGAGACCAAATTTTAAGGTACTCAGAGAAAGATATATTCAGCTTTTAAATTTGGGGACGCTGTTTGTTCTGGAAAACATGTGTTTTATCCTTTTCTTTTCAGAAGACAACAGAAAGCCATCTTTTTCTAAAGTTAAGATAAGAATGCTTGGAGACAGAAATTACCATATGTTGTCCTCACAATTTTGTAAGAGAATTGACTAGAGGACTTCAAGACTACCTCTCTTTTTTCTTTAAAAAATTCCTCATTTAAAGTTTATTATCTCATTTTTATTGATGACTTTATTTCTATATCTCACTTATTTTCAAATCTCACAAATTTTCAAATATTTTCAAATTTCTATATCTCACTTATTTTCAAATTTTCAAAGGGATAACTTCCTTCTCTTACTCAGAAATCCATTCTTTTTAATAAAGATTAAAAAGAAAGGGGAAAAACAATTCAGCAAAACTGAACAATACATTCATTGTGTCTAATGTTGTGTTATATTTTATAACAACATAATCTTCCCACTTTTGTAATGAAAGGAAAGAGATGAATTTTCTCAACTCTTTTCTGGACTCAAGCTTGGTCATTATAATTAGGTAGCATTCAGTTTCATTTTGTCCTTCCTGTCCTTTCACATAGTTATGTATGTATTTTCCCTAAGTCTGCTTACTTCATTATGCATCAGTTCATATATCTTTCTCTGCTTATCTGAATTCTTCATTCACATGTTAATTCTTATGGTGCAATAATGTTCCATTATATATAAGTATAATTTGTTCAGTCATTTCTCAATTGTTTTCAGTTTTTCTTGACACAGAAAGCACTTATGGGACTATTTTGATGTATATGAGACTTTTGGTATATGTCTAAAAACGATGTCTGAAGGTCAAAGGGTTATGAGCATCTTAGTGATTTTTTAAAAACACAATTTCAAATTACTTCCCAGAATGGTTGGATCAAGTCACAGCTCTATCCACAGCATACTAGTGTACATATCTTTGCATGGCACCTCCAACATTGATTATTTCTATGTTTTGCTATCTTCGGCAATTTTCTAATTCTGTTTCTCAAACATGTCATATGGTTCTTCATTGACTGCCAGATGAGGATAATGTCACTGTAGTTAGAAAAAAGCCAGGAAAGTGACATAAATTGGCAAAATGACACAGAAAATTTAAATTACTAGATCAGGTAAACATATGAAGTGCTTAGAAACAAGATGCCTTTATGGGAGCTGAATGTGTATAAAGTCAGAGAGGTAGATAAGAAATGGGCCTGCATCCTATCTTTGTTCTATGTGCTCTCCTACCTTCAGAGAACTCTATTTCCCATTGCTCTAATGAGAGGCTACTTCTAAAATCATCCTTTTCCCAAATGAACTAAAGGAGGGAATGTGGTTATGGTAAGAACAATATCCTAACTACATTCCATGGTACGAAGTAAGATAATTTTTCCTTGTAAGGTATCAAAACCATCCTTGAGACTTGATTGAATTAGAGGACTAAAACCTCAGAATGTTGGAATCATTTCTATCTCACCTGAGTACAAAGCTTCCAACAAAGAGCTCAAGTACTTCTCTGATGATTGAATGGTGGAAAACTATGAGAGGGCTTCTCTCAATTAAATAAACCAAAGGTGTCCTTGATGTCTTCCTTAGTTTGCTGAGGCTAAGTAAACAGCCTTTTGTTAACTGTTTAATGGTTTTTCAAGTATCTTATTTTGTTCTAATACTAAACTTGAACTACCAGAAGACTGGCTTGAGTCAGGTCCAACAAGAAGAGTGGTGAACTCCTGTACTTGAGTTTATCAATCATTCATTATAAATATAAGATCTGGGGATCCAGACTAAAAGTAGATTCTGATATTCTTACTGATATAATCTGAAGAGAATTTCTTCATTTTAATTTGATTGAGAGAAGTTCCACTAAAATATTTTCATTTCTAAGGTGCTTGTGGATGGATAAGGCCAATCATAGTGAGCAATTTGAATTTCTTGAGGGAGATGTTAGCTGGACAACAGGACAGTTATGTGGGTTCAGAACTTACTGAAAAATGGATCCAAAGAGTAGTCATTAAAGGGATAATATAAATTAAATCTCTTAAAGTGTCTCAGGTGTCTGTTTTTGGTTCTGGACTGTTTCATATTTTTTATAATTACTTGGATGAAGGTATAGTGTATGCTTATCACAATTTCAGATGACATGGAACTGGGAGATATAGCAAACATTTTGTTTGGTATATTTCAACAGGCTAGAATATTGGACTGAATATAATAAGATGAAATTTAATAGGGAAAAAAGTAAAGTTGTTCATGTGGTTTTTTTTAAATTAAATTTTGGTTATATAAGATAGGCAATGTATGACTACATAGCAATTTGTATTAAAAAAAAGTTCTAAGGATTTTAGTGGACCACAAGCTTAATGTTTCAACAGAGTGACATAGAAGCCAAGAAAATAAAAGCAATTTTGGGCAGTATAGTTCCATTGTATCCTGGCAAGATCAGACTACCCCTCAAGCATTGTGTTCCTATCTGGGTACTGCATTTTAATGAGAACACTGATAAAGTGAAGAGTGCACAGAGGGTGGCAATATGGATAGGGAAAAACCTTTAATTAATACCATATGAGGAATGGCTGAATGACTTGGTAATATTTAGCTTGGGGAAGAGAAAACTAAGCTGAGATATGATGGTTTCAGAGTACTTGAAAGGTCACATGAAATAGAGATTAAATTTTATGCTTAGACACAGAAGTAGGAGTAACAATGATGTGGGTAGGACTTTTGATTTATATAATAGAAATTTCCTGTCTACTTTTCATAGTTTTTAGCTTCTATTATTGTGTCACTTCTTCCTGTTTTCAGTATATCCTTCCAACATCTAATTTTCTGCCTTATTTTACCCATTCCCTAATAATAAGAGCTAGCATTTATATGGTACCTATTGCATTGTGCTAAACACCTTACACATATTGTCTCATTTGATCCTCATAACTATCCTGTGAGGTGGGTGTTATTATTATCTTCATTTTGTAGATGAGAAAACTGAGGCAGATAGAATTTAAGAGACTTGCCCAAGGTCACACAGATAGTAAGTGTCTGAGACTGAATTTGAACTCAGTTCCAGCACTCTATTTATTGAACTGCCTAGCTGCTGCTAGTCAAGTTTGTGGACCTTGCAATAAGTTATTTTGTTCAGTTAGTTTCTTCAGAGTTCTCATTTATTTCTGAGTTTACAGTAATCTTATAGATGGTTGCAGTCTTCAGATCTCTGAATAAAGATGTTACAATGGCTTGCTTCAATCCTTGCCTCTTTATCCCTCTAATTTTTGAAGCTGGAACCAAATATCTTTCATCTGTAGGTTCAGTTTCACACCAGATTCGGGGACCAATTATGCATGGGAAGGATATAAGGGATCCCACGTCAGCAGTTTATTGGCTAAGTATTGTCAGTTTTGTATACAAAAGATTCTATTCTGACCTTACACCTTACTTCTAACAATTGGTCGCTTGTGTTTGAATTCTTTCATTTATTCCTTCCCTGATATCCCAATTATTGTGATAATGGGGTTTTGCTTGTAGCTCTAGTTCTTTAATGGCCAAGAGTCATTCCCCTGAAGCTCAGTCTTTGTAACCACTATTTACTTTGGTAACTTCATTGTGATTACTCCCTACTTCTGGAGATTCATGTGGGTATAATGATACTGGAGAAAGGCATTTGGACTAATGTTGAAATCATCAATCATTAATTGTAATTACCTAGAAATATTTTGAAACATTGGACAAGACCTAAAGGCCTTAACTATGTAAATGATATTTTTATTGCTGAAAGCAAGGGATTCAGAAGAGAAAAGCATATTTGGGAAGTAATCAGCTATTTAAGAAGAGATCTGAGAATGGGATTTATAGTTCTGAATCATGGCTTAAATACAAGAATGACAGATTCCTGACCAGGGATAAAGTGGATCTAATAAGGACTGGCAAGAAAATATCTGCTTTGAGTCTTGACAATCTAGTCAAAAGAGTTTTAAACTGAAAAGAAAGAGGGGGAAGAGAAAACTACTTGCATCCACCAAGCTAAATACCATAAAGAAGAACTATAACATAGAAATAATAGTAACAATAGAGACATCCAGAAGTCTACCAGAGATAAAATACAAGAAAGGAAGCCAATAATTAAAATAAAGTAAAACATGGTCTCAGACACTTATATAAAGATTCATAAAGTATGTATAACAAGCAAGTTGAACTATATATCCCAATTTGAAGAGGCAAATTTGAGCTCATATATGTCACTTCAATATGGCCAAATGAGACCTAGGAATGGAGTATGGTTCTGGAAGCAAATACTTTATTCAAAAGAAACAGGATAGGTAAAAAGGGGCTTGGCTGGAGTAGCCCTATATGGCAATCTATTAAGAAGAAACATTTATATGAGGAAATTGAGAAACCAGAGCCAGGAAGCATGGTGGAGAGCTTTGGGTGAAAATAAATGGAAACAGAAATAGAAGCAATATTATAATGGTATTATACTACAGA